CCTAAATAAGACATGAGTTTATAAGCGTTAGCTAAACCAATTTCTGAATCAAACAAAACAAAACCCTCTGGTTAAAACATGCTTCAGTGATCAAAAGTACTAGGTATAAAATGCTGTAAGACCACTGTGGGCTCACTGTATTTGTAGAATTGTAGTTTTTGCTGCCTTGAGCATATAGGCCCAAAGCATAGCCATTGGGAGGTCCTTCCAGTGGGCCTCACCTGCAGAACAGAGGGTGATCTAGTCAGTGACCTGATTAGAGAATAGCTCTATATTTTCTGTAGTGGACCATTTACTCTAACTTCTTCATCTTCATGGACACAAGCCCTCCCACATTTTAGACGGATTAATTAATTAATAAAGAATAATTTTTAGTATGGGACAAGTATCTTGTCAAAGACTGGAATTTTACTTTGGGATTTTGTTTTCTGTATGATCCTTTCCTTAATGTAGAAGTGACCTTCTTTAATTTTGCAACATTGAGACTTACAGCACATACCTGTAGATGGTATCACCGACCGTAGTTTCTTTCTCTCTAGTTACTCACTTGCATAGGGAAGTAAAATCAGGTGGCTTGTACATTGGTGTGACATTAATAATTTTGTGAAGTTCCTTGTCTGTCTTCATGCCTTCACTTATTCACAGATATTATTAAGCACTGGCTGTCTTCTAGATGCTAGGGGATAAACAATGAACAAAGGGAAGCCTCTGCTTTCTTGGTGCTTCTATTCTGGTCTCAATCAGAAAACATTTTTGGGTGGAATCGATGATGATGATGATGGCAGGCTCCCATGTTTGGGAACACCTCCTGGGGAGGACAGTGATAATTTCTAGTTTACTGTGTTTCCGAGGAGGGGCTACCTAAGCATTTGGGGCTTTCTGTGTCTCCCTAGCAACTTTTATTCTGAACACTGAGGAAATTGAGGAGCTGAATAAATCACATTAAAGTAATTACCATGTGCTTCATAGTGTTCTCAGCGCATTACAAATAACTAACATTTCATTTCAGGCTTGTTACGGATCTGTGCAGTGGGTAGCGCTGGTATCCCTGTCTTACAAACCAGGGAACTAAGTCACTTGCTCCCGTAAGCAAGTGGGACTAGTACTGGTACTCAGGCTCTTTAACTGCTGCCCTGTCTCCTTCTATATCTGGGGAGAGAGGTTGCTTGTTTTCCTTCTCCCACTTGGGATTTCTTTGAAAGTTTAAGAGTATTCACTGCCAGATTTGGGGACAGTGAAGGGAGTCTGGGCCTCCTTCCCTTGTGGTTTGCATTCTTTGGGAGCTCCCTTTCCTTTTCCTTCCTGATTCTTTCACATTGAATTATGTGTTTAATTTGTGTAAATGGAATGTGTTTAATTTTATTTAATGATGTGTGTTTCTCTCTGTTCTGCTAGACGTTCTGTAAATTCCTCGAAGCAAGGATCTGGCAAATAGGTACATGTGACAAATAGGTCAAAGCATGTATTGTGAATTCTAAAATGATTAGATCAGTTTACTTGAAATTGGGGATTTCCCCATCCTTTGTGGGACCGCATAATAGTTTAATTTAGCTGTTGACAAATGTTTAACTGTATTCTGATCAGTGGGATGTGAATAATAGGCCATAGCATATTGGAATAATAAGACTGGGAGCAATATTATTTAAAACCTAGCATATTCAACATATGTGTCTCTTGGGAAGAAGTCTTTATGCCACTGCAGATGCTGTTTTTAGGTAGGTAGCAACATGGCATTCCTACTTGATAATTCTACATGTCAGGGATCTTTTGATTATTTGAGGTTAGGTCATTTATATTCCCCCAGAATCCTCAAGGACATTCTGGCCCCCCTTTCAGGGAAATGTTCTTCTGTTTTCTTCAAGTTCTGATCATATTTACAACCTTGGTCCTATCAAGATCCCTTATTGCACCTCCCCCCAACTTTCTCTGTGTCCAGAGTATTTCCTCATGCTTTCAGGCTACCTCTGAAATCCTGTTCCCTCAGTGAAACTCTTCAGTTAATTAAAAGAGGAATCTGGCCTCATCTTTATTTCTACTTATTACTCAGGGATGAAGTTCAACGAACATCCATGGTGCATGGTTTCCTCCTTTTAATTTTAATGGACTAATTTATTCTGCACATGAAAATAGGAATCTCTGTTTTATGCTTTACTTTGCACAATGAACTTGCCCATCACAGTAAACATGAATTTCAGTTCTGCCGGTCCCTGGTCCTTGTTTGTTTTGTTTAAGAAAGAGTTTGTGACATGTGGATGACAAGGAACTGAAACGCTGTTACATTTGTGTTGGTTTAATGGGGCTGCCATAAAAGAGCACCACGGACTGGGTCATGAGACAACAAAAGTTTATTTCCTCCCAGCTCCAGAGGCTGGGAGCCTGAGATCCTGGTGTTGGAAGGGTTGGCTTCTTTTGTGGCCTCTCTCCTTGGCTTGTAAATAGCTTTCTCTCCCCGTGTCTTCACGTGGTCTCGCCTCCGTGTGTGTCTCCTCTTCTTATAAGGACACCAGTCATTTTGGATTAGGGCCCATCCTGATGATCTCATTTTAACTTAATCGCATCTTTAAAGCTTTATCTCCAAATACAGTCACTTTCTGAGCACTAGGGGTTAGGACTTCAACATACAATTTCGGGGAGACACAATTCAGCCATAACAAAGTTTAAATGTATAACATGGTTGTCCTAAACTTTTATGACAATTACAACAAAAATTCCTTTTAAAGCTTAAAAATGGGCAAGGGACGAGGACATCCCGATGGAGAGGAGATTGCAGGATATATTGCTCGTGATCTGGCTTAGACCTGGCTAAGGGATTTAGGGTGAAAATTCATAGTAATGAAGACTTTTGTTTGTACTTTCCTAGTTGTTCGGATTCAATGACAGTACCTTCTAAGTACCTCTAAGTTTTCGTGATTCTCTCTTAATAAGTGTTTGTAATTAGACCTGACTGCTTATTTGGGAAGATGCTTGGAGAGGCGTTTTTATAATCCCACGTTTCCCGGGTAGAATGTGAAAGAGCAGAGCTTGTGTCAAATAGGCCTTGATTTGAATTTGAGGCCTTTTCTGCTTATAGCAAGCTGAAGAAGATGGCTCTAAAAATCCTTCTCTTGACATCTTACCAGCTGTGTGGCTGTGGACAGGTTATGTAGCCCCCATGCATCCTAATTTAGGCATCTATAAATTGGGAAGGGACGCTGTCAGGAGGCTTTCCTTGGCTCTTGGTGCTTGTCACGATTGCTCATTGCAGATAGATGCCGACCCTCTGTAGACGACCCTGGGTGGTGGGGCTCTGGCACGCAGCCCTGGGGCGGGGGGCATCCGCCTCCACACCTGTTGCCTTGGGTAGCCTCCAGTGCCTGTCTGACTCGCGTGCCCTGGTGGACATCTGGCTCGCAGCCGTCAAAGTGGACCTGGGTTTATGTCAGTGTCTCTACTCTTGCTCGCTGTGTGATGGAGCCTCTCGGCGAGACAGATGTCACTTGAGGGAAGATGGGTGGGTTCCAACGGATCACCTTAAAATGATTTTTTCTTACCTCCTCTTCCTGTATGTGCTGGGGTCCCCAATAGTTATAAGGACAGTCTTCTTTTTATTATCTTCTTAGGAGGCAAATGGTGAAAGTTTGTGGGGCAGAGGTACCATTTAGCCTAGCACATCAGCTTCTAAGATCCGCAGACATTAGTATTTGCCAAAACCAAGTACTGGACCTTGTGCCTACTTTTTCTAGTGCAGAGTACCCACACGGCAGAGGGCTCAATGAAATGAGGTGTGTGTGTGAGTGTGTGCGTGTGTGTGCATGCGTGTGTTTGAGGGTGGCAGAGGACAGCCGCTTGCCTTCCACGTACTTTATGCTAGCTAAATTGAATTTTCATCCTCTGTGTTGGGATTAAAATTTCATAAGCCTCGTTGAAAACACTAAGGTGGCTTTTATTATTAGGCTTGAATAGACCAATTGATTCAGTGTGAAGTTTTATTCCAGTAAAACCATTGAAACAAGTTGACCAGCGAGTTCTTTATATAGGCATAAGTAACCCCAAGGTCTGTGAGGCTTACCTACTTTACATATTTTAATCATTATAGAAGAGCATTAAAATACAACACTCTCGACAGTAGTATTTGACCTGGAAAAAGTCCCATGAGCGAACCCATTGATCATTGCCTTTCTCTGGTACCACTGCTGGTATCTTCTCCTTTGGATTCTGTATTCATCAGAACTTTTTCAGCTGCAAGGGACAGAAACCCAACACAAACAAGCTTAAGCTGGAACGGGAATTTATTTCAATTTAAGTGAAAAATCATAGGACTAGAAATATCCTTAAGTGGAGTTAGATCCAGGAGCATATAGGATATTATTGGAGCATTTTCTTTCTCTCAAATGGATTTGTTTTCAGAAAATTGATGAGAAAAATGACTGCCAGCATCCCCAAAGTTGTATCCTTATGACTTCCAACTGGAAAGGAAGAGCCTCTGTCTTCCTGTGTCCATATATCAAATATCAGGGAAGATTTTGATTATCATCCTTGAGCCTATAAATGACCAGCCTATAACTGGCCAGAATATTGTGGCCAGCGACTGTGGCAAAGCATCTTGATTGGCAAGTCCACTGGGATCACATGGGCTGGGACAGGGCCGATGTCCCATCCCAGCCTAGCAAACAAACTGCCTAGCAAACTGCCTAGCAAACAAACATATGTCTAGTACACATAACCAGCATTTCCAAGTCAGCAAGGGTTTAGTGTTTATTCTTTTAGTTGAAAGGGAATGGGAAGGTAACTGTCATAAAACTGCTAAATCCATTTGAAAATCGTAAGCTGCACATTGCAGATCTGTTTGAGATGACAAGATAATGACACACATGAAAAGTGTCCATCAGGTGGGATATACATCGTATAGACAATCGAATAGTTGGAGCGTAATGGAGATTCCTGAGGTGGATTTAACCGTGGGCAGTGTTTTGAGTAAAGGTAACAAAATGACAATAATGGACTTCTGCTTTTTTTGGTAGGGTTAGATGATTGCCTGCAGCAGTATGTCCACAAGTTTGAACGGGAGAAGATAAATGGAGAGCAGCTGCTGCAGATTTCCCATCAGGATCTTGAGGAGCTGGGGGTCACGCGAATTGGACACCAGGAACTTGTGTTGGAGGCTGTCGACCTTCTCTGTGCCCTGGTGAGTTCAGGAAAAGATGATCTGTGCCATGATGATGTCCTCTAGAACCTTACTCGCTTAAATCCTCAATGTTCGCGATTTGGTGTGTAGCATCGTTTTGTATTAATGCTCCATTGAAGTGAAGCATGAGCTGAAGACAACATAAAAAAGGAAGAAAAGGGATCGTTTTCTAGGTGAGGAGGGGGCAAACTGGCCTGCAGGTTAAGCCTGGCCCATTATTTTTGTCAGTAAAGTTTTATCGGCACATAGCCACGCCCATTCATCTGTTGTCTGTGGCTACTCTCCGGCTACAGCAGTAGAGTGGAGTAGTTGGACCAGGGACCCCGTGGTCCCCCAGAGTCCAGTGTATTTACTGTCTTGCCCTTTAAGGAGAAGCTTACCTTTTACAGAAAAAAGTCAGTGTTAGTTTCATTTTCTTATCTTGTGTGGAGAGTACAAAGAGGGAGATCATCCTGAACGCCGGTGGCATCTTCTAAACTAAAATGAGAAATAGGTTCTGATTTTCATGTCTGTTTTTGTCACTATGAAAAGCTTTTTTATGTTTCCCAGGTATTTGTGATATTTAAATAACCGATGCTCATGCTTGCAGTCACCAACCTATGAAATGGTAGCTAGATGGGGAAAAATGTGAACATAGTTACACTTTGCAGATGCTTGAGCTTTGGCTTGAACATAAATGAGTTCAGTCCTGCCAGGTTCTGACTCTTGCACGACACCCGTGGCTGCGTGAGTGACTTTTTTAGGCGTGGGCTAAAAGTATCTGTGAGGGCATTGTGTTTACAAACTGGCTGCCGTGCGGTGGGATCCACGTCCGTGTGTTACGGTGCCATGTCCAGGATGCAGTTTCCCCAGCTGTCAGGATCTGGACCCGCTCCGCAGCATTCAGGCTGGGTTAAGTAATGCCATGAACCTGAGCCAGGGGTATATACAATTACATCACTGAGAATGGTGGGAAAGAATGTGCTCCCGATTATTTTGCCGTTGCTGGTCTGCGTTCCGTTGATTATGTAACACTTGCCACATTGTGCATATTCTTCTTCTTAAAATGGACAGAGCTTTGTCTCCCGCTCTGAGATGCGCTGCTCTTGTTTACAAAAGTAATGGGCAAATTATTTGTGGTTGATAAATGAGCTGCCACAGGGGAGACGCGGTGGCCAAGTGGTGTGAGTGTTGGCCTGGGAGGCAGGCTTTCTGCATTCTAATCCTGGCTCTGCTACACTCCTCACTCTGTGACCTCCAGGGAAACGGGGGTGTCTGTTTTCCCCATCTGTACAGTAACACTCTCTGGATGTGGCAGGACTCTAACGTGTCTGTTGCATTGCCCAGAAGATGTCTTAGAGTCCTGTTTATTATTAAGGCTGTATGGTTTTCTTATATACAGTGAAATATGTTTGAGTTTACTTTTATTGTACTTTCTGGGAAGCTAACTTTTCCATCTTTTCTGCTCATTTGATTTGTCTCTTTCAACTTTGAGGAAGGGCTTTGAGGTAAAATGACTTTGGAGTCCACAATATGAGAGGTGAGGAGGAAGGGTCGGTTTGAGGCACGTGGTGTATAGCAAGCCAGGTAATAAACATAACAACTGCCTCTCTGCTCTTGCCCCTTCCCTACCTCTTAAAATATTGGACTGAAATGAACAAAGCTGGACAAATGCCAGAACCTAAAGCTGCATTTTATCTCCTACAATTTCCTTCTAATTTCCTTTGCAGACAAAGTTTGACCTCAAACTCATTCTGGACATGCTTTGTGCCGCAGAGTGCCAGTGAATGCATTTGACAGGAGGGGCACAGGGGGACTCTCAAATGAGTGTGCCTTTTCTGGGTTGGGGAGGGTTTTAGAGGGTTTGATTAAAATATCTTTTTCATCTTGATGTAATATCCTCATAAAACGTTCCTATTGAAATGCATATGTTAATTATTATACTATCTGTTTAATCTATTTACACTATAAGATCTTTGTATATATAAATTGGTGATAATTCTTTGCCTTGAACAACCCAACCCTTGGGCAGTTCATGTATATTTGCAGTTGGCCCTGGGGTTATAAAAGAGGTTGTAACGTAAACTTAGTTTGGTGGATGTTGGTTTTGTGATGGACAGGAAATGAATAGAATGTAGAAGAAAGAGAGGAAAAAACAACCACTGGAAAGTTCTGGAAAGAACGGCGCAGATAGAATGGATAAAAACCTAACATAGGGAATAGCTATTGGTAAAGATTCCAAAACCGGTGAGCAGATGGCCCACAGATAGCTAGTCATGGATAGAGAAGAGAACCAGGAGAGAACACCACTGCCTTTTGCAGATATTGACCATGGACTTGTATCATGAGGCTGAACCAAGACCACTTCTTAGGATTGAATTCAGAGTCTGAGCCCAGTTTTTCTCCACCTATCTGGGGCAGACTCTAGAGCTGCTCTTTCCAGTAGGACAACTATTCGCTACATGCAAATATTTAAATTAAAATAATTAAAATGAAATAAAATTCACTTCCTCGGTCACCCTAAGCTGCATTTCAAGGGCTCATAGCTACTGGTGGCTAGTATCTACCATATTTGGACAGTGCACATAGAGAACATTTTCATACTTGCAACAAGTTCTGTTGACTAGCGCTGGTCTGGAGGGTGCGATCGAGAGTAAGAATAAGTATAATTGTAACCGATTTTCATTGCAAAATCAACCAAACCCTAGTTACCAAGGCAGGCGCATATATATAATTATATATAAATTAATTAAATATTTTATAATTAAATATAAAGTATTATATACATGTCTTAAAGATTTTATTTGTTTTGGAGAGAGAGAGAGATCCCGTGCATGTGCAAAGGGGGAGGAAGAGAGAATCTCAAGCAAGACTCCATGCCAAGCACAGAACCGGTTGCAAGGGCTCCCTCTCACGATCCTGATGAGATCAAGACCTGAGTCAGACGCTTAACCAACCGAGCCCCCCAGGTGCCCCATATTTTTAAGGTTGAAGTAGGTTGAGAAAGTGAACAAAGTAGGGATCAGTAACACATGTTAGGTGATGCCACCTAAATGTATGATTAAATGAAATACCTGTAATGTATTTACCTGGCCAGGGCACTTCTGTGCACTTGTATATCCCTGAGATGATTCATTTCCTCCTTTACCTACATCTATGGCAAATCATGAAAACATGTTATCCTTCTTTATGGGGAAAAATCATGCCGGAAGAGTAATCTTTGCTGACAGTCTGAATTTAGCTGGATCTTGCTTATGAGTGTATTAAATGCCTTTTGGAAAAAATGTGGAATACATCTCTTAGGTTGTGACTGAACTGAGCCAAGTCAGTGGGATGGTTTCGATTGTGTTTTCTCTGGCACTCCTTAATCACATATGTTAGATCATGGACAGGGTCGGGAGGAATGGGACAAGAAGGTAGAAGAGAAGGAGAAGATTCATCTTTAGCTAAAATGTGTATAATGAAGGCACCAGAAGAGTGAGACTCTGCCTTTTTCCTTCTCTCCTGTCTCCTGTGTGATTTCTTAGCCAGACCAGGAAATAACCCCCTGATGGCTTACCTCTAATGAAGCGGGATCTCAACGGAAGGGTTTGTGTATGTGTATAGATTTTCAGAGACTCATTTCATTTCTTACTTGGTTTGTATCTTCTTGATACTTTTATCTTACAGCAATTTCTGAATGGGACAAGTTTGAGGGAAAAGATTAATGAAGGTAATCAAATCTGGTGTGAGTAATTATTCATTTTCTGTTTTTCATTGTGGAGCACTTAAGTCAATAATCCTTTCCTGATTATGTTTCTACATTAGAGGTTCTCTTGAGCGAATATAATCAGTTTCTTGTTCTCTTCTTGTGTGGAATGGGGGGCAGGGAGGGAAGGAATTGTCCTTCTTTGCTCCTTCTTTCTATCTTGTTAAAATTGTACTCCATCATAGCTGCATCTGTCCCTCCTTCCAGTCCTATGATTTGTTTTGGGTGGGAAACCAGATTCAGAGCCCATTGAGTGGAAAGGAAAAGAACCAGTTAACAAGAAGCTACACTTCCCCTTTATTTTAATATTAGAAATGGTAGGTTTGTAGGAGATTGAGGTTTAACACTTCTTGCAACACTAAAATGCATTTAATCCTCTTTGAGTTCAAGAAGTAAATGTTGTGTGTAGTAATAAGAGTTCCAAGTCATTTCTGGTGACACTGATTCTAGAAAGCTGACTTTCCTGCTTTTAGTTCAGAACTCTTGATAGAAGTTGGCAGGCTGAGTAATTGACTGAATGAGGGGACAATTCCCTTTAATCAGTCACAAGTCCTTCAAAACAAGCTGGTCATGTGGCTCTTTCTCCATTCACTTGTGAGTCTTTGATTCTCTGGGTTTAAAAAGCATGATGAAAATCCATCTTTGTATTTTTGTCTTCTTTGTTGAAGGACAATGTCATATTTTAGTCTGTAGAAAATGACAGGAAAAAAATGAAGGAATATGAGATTTGGATAGAACCATTACTGTTAATACAGAACACTCATTTTTATTATGAAATTTTATTTCATTAGATTATGAAATTATGAATTTATTACGAAAATTTTAAAGCTTGCAAAAGACAGCCTCCAGTTAATGGATCTGAGGAGGTATTTTCATTTTTATTTTTTTATTGTACTCCACTCTTTTCAAAACGTCTATCTAAATTTTTTTAAAAAGCACTTTTTATTTTATTATAGGCAGCAACATTAATTTAAGCTTCATGAAAATTTCACTGCAGTGAAAACCCAGCTGTAGTGTCTGTAGTCAGTGTCACCAGAAATTACTTGGAACTTTTATTACGATGCAAACATTGACTTCTTGAACATCAGGGGACGGAGCAGGTCAAGATAGAATTTGGGGGGAGGTAAGCAGCTTGTTAGTTTGTGTAGATACAAGGCCACTGGCCACTTTTCTTTTCCTTGTCTACTACCCATCCTGCTTTCTGTCTTCTCCTTCTGTCCTCCCTTGGGCAGGGAGCGTGGACGGGGATCATGCAGCATGGTGATCGAAACCTTGTGCCCTCGCTACGGTTGGCCTTCATTAGAATCCCACCTCTCCACGGAGGAGCTGTGTGACCTTTGGGGAATTTATTTAATGGCTCTGTGCTTCAGTTTCCTCACCTATAAAATAGAGATCCTGTCATTTCCACCTTTGTGTGCTCTTTCCCTGAGATAATACTTGTTGAGCACTTGGCCCAGTCTCGAGATGGCGGAGAGTAAGTGTTCAATAATATTGGTTATTCTTTTATTCCCAACGTTTAAAGGGCACCACATTCTTGCTTTGGGGATGCTATTGCAACAGTATAACAGACCCCAGAAATATCTTCATTTTTTGTTAAAATAATGAAACACCAACTTGGGATATGTCCATGCAGCTGAATACAGAAATGCATCCTTCCTCCCCTCAAAGTCATCTCAGATGTAGGTGTTGGGATTTGTTCTCTACCTATCACATGAGGTTCATTCTTTCAAAGCACCTAAGTAGAACATTATTATCCAGAAAGAACACAGGTGAGAAACTCAAGAGACGGAAATTACATTTCAGGTGAATTGACGTTTGGTCAGTGTTGCTGTTTTTGGGCAAGTGAGTCTCACCTGATGGAAATTCATCCATTCAGGGGCTGCTTTGTTGTCTTCTGTGCTGCCAGTATGAATGTGAGCCGGACACAGAACTTGGCTCTCTTGGACCTCAAATTTCCGTGGAGGAAGGTGGTGCCAAACAGGGTGGTTCAGAGAGGTGGCAGATCGGTGATGAGCTAGAGAGTGACCTGAAGGGGCATTTGGCAATGTCTGGAGACATCTTTGCTTGTCACAACTAGGGAGAGGGTGCTACTGGCCAGGGGTACTGCTCAGCATCTTGTGATGTACAGGAATCCTCCATCTCCCCCTCACCCCAACCCAAACAGAATACTGGGCTTTAAATGTCAGTAGGGCTCAGGCTAAGGAACTTGCTCTAGAATGTCAAGGAAGCCTCAAAGAGGAGGGAACCTTTGGGCTAGTAGGTAAATATAAAAAAGCTGTTCGTGCAAATATTTGTGGCAGGAGCATTTGAAAAGAGGAACTAGCAAGGACAAAGTCCCTGGGACAGGAATACGCTGGAGGAAGGACAAGAGGCTGGAGTGGGTAAGATCAGCACTGTGGGTAAATCATGTAGGGTTTTGTGGCTGTCGTAGGAGTTATTCAAGTTGCTCAGTGGGCTTTTGAGTTACTATGAGAGTTTGGATGTTGTTGATTGTCTTGAATTTTTCCCTTTGATTTTATTTTCCACAGAATTATGGCCTGGAAACTGATAATATGAAGAACTTAGTTCTGAAACTGCGAGCATCTTCCCACAACTTACAAAATTACATAAGTAGCCGGAGGAAAAGTCCAGCTTATGATGGAAACACTTCCCACAAGCCCCCCAATGAGTTCCTGACTTCTGTGGTGGAGCTAATAGGTGCTGCTAAGGCCTTGTTGGCTTGGCTGGACCGGTAAGTGATGCTTTCGCTCGACCGTCTGATCAGGGGAGGGCCCGAGCTGCACACAGGCCTGTTCTGTTGTCTTAGGGAAATGAGCTGGTGTCTCTTTCCTGTCCCTTCCACTGCACCGCTGCGGGAGTTCTGGCTCAGTGGGGGGTTTTTGGGTCCCTTTGGAAGCTACCGAAAGGGTGAATAGCAGGAACAAATTAAGCTCCCCTTGGGGAAGGCCTGGAACCATGCTGAAGCTGTGTATCACTGTGGTTAAACATTTGTGATTATTTGGTTGGTGTGCAGGCTGTCAGTTGACCTCTGAAGGGACATGAATTCTCTTAGCTCCTTTTCTGAGGTGTTCTTACCTAGCACTTCTCTGTCTCTTTTCTGTTCAGATCCCTGTTTTTGAGAGGAAACAGTTGCATGACCAGTCTTTGAAACCAGCCTGTGGTGTGGCTGTGCTTCTCAGCCTATCGTGCGGGATCCCGGTGCCCCCACCCCCTTTTTTAAAAAAACGTTTGTTGCTTTCTAGGGCTCCATTTACAGGGATCACGGATTTCTCAGTAACGAAGAACAAAATCATTCAGCTTTGCCTGGACCTGACAACTACCGTCCAGAAGGTCAGTACGTCACTGTTGCTTTTTAACACTGTTTCCTCCCTCTGCCCTGTTCTCTTCTTCAGAGGACTCACATGCTTTTCGCTTTTCTGCCCCTCGCCATATTTTCCCCATCCCAATTGGGGAGAGAGGAAAGGCTTTTAGTTAGATGCATTGTACAGATGGTTTCTAGAAAGTGACCAGTGGCCTTTACATCGAAGATTACCTTCTTTTGTTTTAAAATAGTTGAGCTAATACGCCTGTACTTTCTCTAAACTGTTTGAGCACTTAGTTTTTTTAAATAGAAACTCTGGAGGAACTACGTGACATAAAGTTAAGGAATGCTAAGGAGGAAAGGAGCATGAGAAGGATTGAGGTGGAATTCAGGTTTAGGTATGGGGCTGGAGTGACCCTCCGTGAGAAGGTGACTCTTGTCTGGAGGGAATGGGCTTGTTAATGTCATCTTGGGGTGTTTTTCTGGTAGTCACAGAAGTGTTGATTGTTATGAACTGATGGTAGAAAAAAATCTCTGCATGGGAGGTACAGATCCTGAGCTGTTCACGTTAGGAGAAGGCTGCCCGCCAAGCATCCTCATCACACTTGCCCCTTCTTTGGGCCTCACACCGCCTGGCACATGAGAAGTGGTGATTTTTAAATGTGTTTTTAAACAAATGAGACAATGCTTTTGACAAATCAGCTGATGAGACTTTGTCACTTGTCGGAAGAAGTTTAACCCAAACTTAGGGGACACAAGGGGTATTGTTTTTGTTTTCCTTTGGTGCTCATTGAACATGTGCTTCAGAGACAGATAGCCACAGGTTCAAATCCTACCTCTACCACTAATTAGCCCTGGGACCTTGGACAAGTCACTTAAAACTTAGGAACCTTAATTTTTTTGTCTGTAAAATGGGAATACTAATATTTACCTTACCAGATGATTTGGCAGGATTTATAGAAGTTATTACTGAATAAGAAAAAAAGAAAAAAAGTGTAGTATAATGACAAATGGTGAACCCCCCCAATATGGAAGTGTATGTATATATGTATTTATAATACACATCCAAAAGCCTGTGTATGAAGGAGTAAGTACAGTACGCAATTTGGAAGAAAAGTTGGGTTTACTTTGGCAGGGAGAGAAGTGGGGATGGAGCGTACGAGCCAAGCCCCCTCCACCCCAGGAAGGAAAAGAAGCACTTCTTTCATTTACAAAGAATATTATGGGACCACATGTATGTATTTGTGTAAAATTGGATATAGAGAAATAATGTAAAATATTTGATTTTAAAATAATAATATCTACCTCAAAAGATTGGTATGAAGATTAAATGAGATGTAATATATGTAAAGCACAGTGCCCACAAGAAATAAGAGCATATAGTAGGAAATATAAAAAATCACGCCTTGTACTGGTTTTCTGGAAACAAATTTGATGGTTTAAGGAGAGGAAGTTGACAAGTATGTTGCTCTTTTCTTTCTGTTGTTGGTTTTTTTTGTTGTTGTTTCTTTAAATTTGAACGATTTTTAAAGATGGAGACTGGCAAAATATGAATATATGTGGGAATATCATTTTATGGACTTAGATTGAGAAAGATGTTTAGCTCTTGTGAACATACGTTGTCTTTAGCGATTAGAGAGCACAGGTGCCCTGGCAAGTGGACTGTTTGTGTGCACACAGATTAGAAATAACAAACTTGGTGAATGAGCCGGACGCCTCTTTCTGTGTGCCGTGTGATGGCAGCCACAAGACCGAACGAGCCAGGGGACTTCACGCTCTCGTCCAGCGAGGGGACGTACAATTTTCTTCAAAGCTTCTTGGCAGAAGGTCTCTTGACTTTTCTGGAAGAAACCCGTCTTTTCCATTTATTCCTTTTCTCTGGGAAATTGAAGGAATGAAAGCTGTGTCCTTCTTTTCCTGTGACAAGGAACATGTTCTCCTTGGGTCTTTATTCCTTTCGTCTCCGTCTGTGAGGACAGGCATTTGCTTGGCCTTCTGCTCCTTTCTCTCGTCCATGTGTTGCCGTCCGCCCTCTTTCTTGTCACGTTGTCTGCATCCTTCTGTTGAAGGATGATGTGTCCGTCTCCTGATCTGAAGGGTGAAGAGTTGCTGCTTTTTCCCCTGTGAGGAGCCTGCACCATTCTTGTAAGCGTGCCTCAGCTGCTGTCCCACGCCAAGTCCACGGATAGAGCTCCCGTCCAGTTTTTAAGCTCTACCGTCGGACGAAGGAAACTGGGGTGGGAAGGTGTTGGGCTCTGTACCTTCAGTGTGTCCTCGTGAAGTTGTGATGACATGAAAAGTGCAGTCACAGTGGTGAGAGACGAAATGGCAGGGGCAGGCACCAGAGTTCCACTGGGGGAAAAAAGGGGGGAATGAGCAATAGAAAGCCCAGGAGGACTGAACAGAAAGTGAAGTGGCCACGGAAGCAGAGGAAGAAGCCCCGAGAACATTTATTGAGTGCTGGTCGTGTCTCAGGTGCATGCGACATCTTTGACACCTGTTACCGTGTTGACTTCTCGGCAGATCTCGGAGCTGGGGTTTATCATGCCCGCTTTACAGAGGAAGAGACACAGCCCGGAGAGGGTGACAGGTTGCTGAAGGTAGAATGAGGAAGAGCCGTGGAGGGAAGGGGCATCCGATGGTGGCCCTGGCGGGGTCCCTGCCAGGCAGGCTGGTCTGCTGATCTGGGTGACCAAGGAATGTGACAGAGGTCAGCCCCACTGTCTGGCTTCTGAGGGGTGACTCAGTTCCAGAACTTCTTTTTCCCATTCCATTGCCTTTATGCCAAACAACATGAAGTCATGCCTGCAGCTACTTCCTCCCAGTAGGAACAGGTGTGGGAACCCACGTTCATGGTGGCGGAAGGTAAAAAGGGAGCTCTTTCACATGCTGACTGGAACAATTTTGGGAGGCAGGAGAGCCCCTCTCATGCCTTGGTTCCAACGCTGCAGGGAGCCCATTTTCTTGGCGGCTTCTTGGATCTGTCAGGGAGTCAAGTCTCAGGAACCATGAGGGCCCACAGCCATCTCGAATCGTGGGCCCTGGTGTATCGAGAGGAGCTCTCTGTCTGCGGGTGATTATCTCATGAGGGTGACAGGGCTCACATCATTTTGGGATTTGTAATGAAAAGTCATAAACACATATTTTATTTCTAGCACAAGACCGCATATGTATTCTGTTTGCTAAAATTGATATTTTTTTAATAATTCTGTCTTTCTGATGGTTTTAATAGAGGTTGACTCGTTGTGGTAGTTGATGGTTTAGTTCTGTGCACAAGAAGGAGAAGAAGCAGCACATTTTTAAGCTATGATTATTCTATTTTACAGAAGTTGCTCCTGTAGTTTGAGTTTATATCAGATTCATGCATGTAAAAATACATTTCTAAATTTCTTTTTTTAAGTGTGTTCTTACTTGGCTGCTCTTTTCCTGAGAATCAGTGTAAATTTTGGGAGCAGTGGAATATTATTGTTTTCCCACAGTTTTTAATCTAGTAGAGAATTTTTTTTAGGAAGACACTGAAAATCTGATTACAAAATCCTATAGGGTAGAATATCGTACATTTCTAACCCGACCCCCACTCCCGCAATGGTAGTAGAAAAATGACCTCAAATGACTTTTGATTGAAGTCAAAATCTGTGACAATTCCAACAGAGTTGATTAATATCTTTCATGTACATGAAATAATTAGGATGTCCTAGTTTGGGATCAGACTTAATGATGCAAAATAAAGTCTAAAGAATCTAGTCCCCTTTTTTTTCTGCATACTCTGCCACGTAGATGGGAAACCTCCGCTGTAGACCAGTTCTAGAAGGTTAACTGTGAGAGTTTGACGTCGGTGGCTTCACTGTGACCACTTTTAGACAGGACAATGGTGACTCCTGTAATCAGCCAACTGGGTTCGTACAGTTCTGAGTCTTTTGTTCTTAAGCTGAGTAAATAATGCTTTGCATTCCAGCGCTTTATTTAATGTCATCAGTAGCATACCTCAAGACCACTTTTTTGGCAGCGTGTTAATGAATGTTTTGTTGAACCTTTTTCATTTATTAAGGACTGAGATATCTGATTTAATCTCAGTGGTGCTTAAAATAAACTTCTGTGGCTACGTTTACTGAAGCCCTTATTTGAAAGCTATTCTTATAGGCAGGCCCAGAGCTAAAAGATTCCTGGCTTGTTGGCCAAGGGCTGGCTGAGTGCGGGGTCATGTTTGGGAGCCATTGTCAGGTTTCTTGGACTTGACTTTTGGCTTACTACTCTCTGCCCTGTCTAGATGGTCGGTGGATTTCAGTTCAGTTATTTTTCATAGGTTTTCTGATTAAATAATTGGTCAAATGCGTTCCTTGGATGATAAGCTCCTTCGGTCAGGAGAAACCAGAGCCTTGGGAGGAGTTGGAGTTGGCCCCGCTCTGTACCCTCTGTATTCAGTGCAGGACTCCTTGGGCTGCAGGGCGAGGAAGGACCCTCTTGGGCTCCAGGAAGTACCTATAGAGCTAAGCCAACAGTTTTTGGAAGTTTCTAGCTCTTACGGTTTTCTTTTTCTTTTTTCCTTCTTTAGGATTGCCTTGTAGCAGAAATGGAGGATAAAGTTTTAACCGTAGTAAGTATACCTTTTACAAGTTACTGTAAAATTCCTTTCCCCAAACCAGTGGGACTCAACATCAATTCAAGCAAAAACTCTGTGGCTAATTCCTTCAGGATATACTTTGAAATACTGGCTTTTTGGGAGTTGAGTCTATTAATTTAGGTCAAAAGGGAAGAATAAAAGTTATTTAATAACAAGAAAATGACTACTGTGAAAATTCCTGTGCTTGGGTAAATGGGGGTCCCTGTCTCCTCCGAACATTTCATTAGGTACAATTATACTTAAATTACTAGCTAGCCTGTTAATCAGGGGTACACTGATTTGTAGATTTCACTGGAGGAACATTTTGATTAAAAAAAAAAATCCTTGGCAAAAACCTTATGATGGAGGAGGGGGGAATGTGCTGTGATTGTTTAAAGAGATTTTGTGACTATTCATCATCGCTTCCTCCCTTTGACATAAGCTGGCCTGTGCTCTTTTGATAAGGCCTTCCTCCCACTGATGTTGAGGAATTTAGCAATGCAACAGCTATAAATATATTTTCCATAAATAGGGAGGCTAAACAAATTGGGGGAATGTAATAAGTGTCACTTCTTGGATTCTCCCCCTTGGAAAAAAAAATCCCTCTTTGGAATTTCCTGATTTCTTTGGTGGCTTAATTTTGAAAGGTTAGATGAATCTAACTGGAGGAAACCACCACACATAACCATGGTTATTTCTACACGGAGACCACTTACTAAGGATCTTCGTGTCTCAAAAATTTTACCTTGTCAACATTCGGGGTCAGAGAATGTGAGCCATCACTAGAAAGATCATACACCCTAAATGTAAAGCACAAATCTATGTATCTCCTAGATGATACCAGGAGAAAATCTAGGTTGACCTTGTGTTTGCCAATGAATTTTTAGATACAACACCAAAGATAGAATCCATGAAAGATAAACTGATAAGGTAGATCTCCTTGAGATGGAACATTCTGCTCCATGAAATGCAGTGTTAAGAGGATGAAAAGACAAGACACAGACTGGGAACAAGTATTTTTAAAACACATATCAGATAAAGAATTTGTATCCAAAATATACAAAGAACTGTTAAAACTCAATAATAAGAAAATAAACCCAGTTAAAAAGTGGGCAAATTATCTGAACAGACGCCTCACCAAAGAAGATAGGCATTTGACAAATGAATATAGGGAACGGTGTTCCAACGTCATGTTTCGTTAGGGAATTGCAAATTAAAACAATAGTGAGACAACACTACACACCTATTAGAATAACTGAAATCCAAAACATGACAACACCAAATGCTGGCAAGGATTGGAGAAGTAGGAGCTCTTGTTCATTGCTGGTGGGAATGCAGAATGGTACAGCCCCTTTGGAAGACACTGCAACAGTTTCTTACAAAACCACGCGTACTCTTACCCTACGATCTAGCAGTTAGACCCTTAGGTATTTACCTGATCACAGAAACCTGTACAGAATGTGGTGGCAGCTTTATTCATAATTGCCAAAACCTGGAAGCAGCCAAGATGTCCTCCAGTAGATGACTATATAATCTGGCACATCCAGACAATAGAATATTGTTCAGAATATTCAGAATATTCAATATTATTCATAAAAAGAAAGGATCTATAAAGCTATGAAAAGATATGGAGGAAACTTAAATGCACCTTACCAAAGGAAGGAAGCCAATCTGAAAAGGCTACATGTTGTAAGATTCTAATTATTTGATATTCTGGAAGAAGCCAAACTGCAGAGACAGTAAGTCAGTGATTGCCGAGGGTTCATTGTGGGGAGGGTGAGAGAGGTGAAGCGGGGGGTTTTTAGGTAGTGAAACTAGTCTGTATGGTACAACAGTGGTAGATACATGACATTATGCGTTTGTTGAAACCTGTGGAACTGTGCACCACAAAAAGTGAACCCTAATGGAAACTGTGGACTTTCTGTTGATAATAAGGTACCAGTTTTGGTTCCTTGGTTGTAACAGATGTGCCATACTAATGCAAAATGTTTTTTATATCTTGTTCTTATTAGCCGTGTTATAGGTATTATTGGAAATTGTGTTGGGGTGGGGAGGGAAGTCTAGAGAAACTCTGTACTTTATGCTCAGTTTTTCTGTAAACCCAAAATTACTTTAAAAATAAAATCTATTAAAAAAAAGCAGTTAGAGACAAAAAAAATTTTTTTTAACCTTGTGAGTGTTTGATATGCACCGAATGTGAGTGATCGCTAAGACACTATGCGGACGGCTGGGAAGGGATGATTCTCTTCGACTGCCAAACGGGGGTTTCTGTACAGCGTCTGCTCTTCAGTGGCCGTAATTCTTGGAAGAGCTGCACTCTTTAAACAAAGCCCATTTCCAGCGATTGCAAATACGAAGCCCAAATCCCTTGGCTTCATGGAGTAGCATTATTAAAATGATTGCTGACCGGAGCTGAAGATTGTAGGGAAGTGCCTATCTTTAAAATTCAGCTTGAGATAAACTTGGTTAATGATTGAACCTTTTCTATTTGCCTCTCCCAACCTTGAGGTCAAGGTTTTAAATGGTATCTGTGACAAAACAATACGATCTACTACGGATCCTGTTATGAGCCAGTGTGCGTGTCTGGAGGAGGTTCACTTGCCGAACGTTAAACCTGGGGAAGGCCTGGTAAGAATTCTAGAAAGACTTGTTTTCTTTTTTTTTTTTTTTTAAAGATTTCATTTATTTATTTGGAAGAGAGAGAGAGAGATTGAGAGAATGAGTGGGGGGAGGGGCAAAGGGAGAAGCAGAGCCCCTGCAGAGCAGGGAGCCTGATGTGGGACTCCATACCAGGTCCCGGGATCATGACCTGAGCTGAAGGCAGACACTTAACTGACTGAGCCACCCAAGTGCCCGAAACACTTGTTTTCTTTTCAAACAATAACATATCTTAATTTATTAAAGTTTTTTTTTCCTGATTCCTTATTGCTTTTACTATGATTCTGAATAGAATTAAATTAGATTGTCTTCCATTATGTAGTTAGGAATTTGCCATCTCGAGCTGCTGATATGTTTTATGTCTTCAAAGTATAAAAATAAATACAGTTTTTGAACTGTGTTCTCATATCTTGAAGGAATTGTCTTAACAGTTTTATTTTAAGACTCAGCCATGTAAGGAGATATAAAACATTTACACAAAGGAAAGATGGTCTCTGGGTACAAAACAGCATCTGCTCTGAAAGTTTATATTAGCACTTAGGATGAATGTGAGAAGAGATGGAGGAACGGCATGATTTCTTTGAGAAGAGTTCAGAGCTGGATGAGCCCTGTACTGACAGGCCCTGAGCATACAGACAGGTAGGTTCCTGGCTTCCAGCATCTGTGCCTCAATACCTGGATCTGCCGGTACCTCGCCTGCCTAGGGCGTGATTCATTTGCTGAGATTGAAGCGGAGAAACTGTGAGGCCCCTTGAGCTTGAGAGAGCTGGGTTTCCTCATCTGACGGACGCGAACGGTACCATTACTGCCTCACAGAGGTGTCGAGAGTATTAAAGTAGACGAGGAGTGTAGGGCCTCAGCGGCTGGGGGCTGGGTAGGTACTGGTGCCAGCCCTGAGGAGGAGGAGGAGGAGGAGGAAGGCCCAGTGGGTAGGCAGCTGTGGGGAGACACGAAGGTAGCCTCTGCTCTCGAGAAAACAAAAATCAACCGAATATCGGTAAGTTCAGCCTTAGTACGTAGAAATACACGTGTTGAGACGTCTCGGCTTCAGAGTAAATGATGGATTATGGTGGATTAAGCAGGGAAGACTTCTGGAGGTGAGTTTATAGTTACGGCTCAAAGTTAAGGCAGAGAAGTGGGCAGAAGTGGGCAGAAGTGGACTTGTGTTTCAGATGGTAAAGTTATATGAGCAAATGCTTTGGAAGGAGGAGCCCCATAGGTCGGGACAAGCGGATTCCTCTGTGAATGAAAGAAACAGGAAAGGAGAGGAATGGGGAGATCCTTGAAGGTGTTAGCATTTGATGAGAGTCTCATTACAGAGAGGTGTAGGTTGCTGACCAGGGCAAGTTCCGGGTCAAATGATTTCTGAGGAAGATCTATGTTACTGCAAATTTAATACCAGAGCGAGCAACTACTCTTTGCCCAGTCGACTTTTTGCTCTTTTCCCCCCATCTTATAAAAGTTTAATAAACATTTTTTATATGTGATACATCAAACAGTGGAAATGTTTCCTCCATGGTATGGTATTCACCTGTGAGTTTGTCTTTACGCTTCCCTTAAGATGGAGGGGTGCCTGTTTCTGACGTACGCCCTATGTTGTGTTGCTTAATAATCTTTGCTCATATATCCTGGTCTGGGTTGTTAGTGGCTTAAACAAGTCACCCACGATGACTGCTGATCCCCCATTTGTCTGAATATATTGTGTCACCAGGGAAAGAGATGGTCAGGAGAGAACGGTCCTTGTTTGAAATGCCTCATTCATTCCGCAGGTCTGAGAAGGTATCTTCTGAGTCCCCAGAGTTATGGCAAAATTCTCTGTGCCTGGTACACAAATTATAATACTAGAGAGATCTGGCTCCTGATTTCTTTCATGAGTGTTTCCCTTTGTTAGCTCCCTGTCACTGCTCCTTGGCTCTGGTTTCCCAGTGTTTCAGGAGGCTTAGAAATAAATGAGCGTTGTTCTGAAGGGATTGCCTTTAATGTTTTATAAGATGAAGTCTCCCTGGCGGCTATGTTTGTAAATGTTGGAGTAATGAGTTAATATGTTTGTGACTCACTCTAGGGCATGTACATCAAATCAACCTATGATGGATTGCACGTGATTACTGGAACCACAGAGAACGTAAGTGCGCCTATCCGTTAAATGTAAAAGCTATTATGTGTTTAAACAAATGTGACACACAGTCCTTATACTTTTCGTTCAAACGTGTGCATCGTATTTTATTATCTGCAGTGAGAGCGTGGGTGCTGTTTTGTTTATTTCTGTTGCTAGCATGCTGCTTATCACCAGCTGTTGGAAATTTATTATTTAAATTGTCTTTTATTGCTGTTGTTCACATACCTTGCCCAGTTTTTACCCCCCACCCTTATTAATTATTCCTTTTGCACCCTGGAAGTGTTAACCCATAAGTCTAAAAACAATGATCTCATTGTGGTTGAAAAACTACTTTTACAAGAACTGGAGTTAGTAGCCATATGTGTAAAATACAGTTTTTTGTTGTTGTTTAATGGAATTTAGATGTATCACCAAAGCAGCTATTTTGGGATTTTTACACAATGTAGATTCTTTTTATAGAGTTGTGTTTTGTCATATTTGGCATGATATTGAAATTTAGTTTTTTTTTTCTCCCCTGATCTTTTAAATAGAAAAAGCAGGGCTGCTTCTACTGTGAGAGTCTTTGTACACTGTTAACTTCCTTTTGGAAATGCTGCTCCCTGAAAGATTTTTCTTGAGCCCCTCAAACATTTTGAATTTGTAAAAAGTAGAGCTAATTGAATGCTTTCTTTTTGCAACCTACAATATGGCTAGTTTTTGATGACATTGATATGAAGCTAAAAATGTTTGAATAGCTTCCTGGATCTGTATGAAAGAAGCATGTGTCTGTGGAACTAATCTGCTATTTAATCAACTAAGACCAGAGGAAATAATTCCTAAAAATAGAAGAAATTTGGTAACTCCTTCTCTAATCTGGTGGAAATACGTGTTGAATTTTAAACTTGAGCTGCTGGGTCTTTTGATAAAATAAAATGGCATGATCTTTGATGAGGGCTTGTGACACAAGCTTGATTTTTGTAGCAAGAAAGAAATGGCGTTGCTGAAGGCAGTCAGTGAATTTTAAATATGGTGTGCGGTTCTGGCCGAGGAATGAGTGGAAGATGGTGGTGTCTTTAAGACTCCTTCGTCAGGCTACCGTGAAAATGCATTGAGAAACGATAGGAATTTTTACAGCACATCACCTGATAGGCAATAACTGCACGGGAGGTTCTGCTTTTAGGTCAAGGATGGTGCAGAAGAGAAAACGCATAACTCATTACGTGGTTCATCCCTCATTCTTGTCAGATTCTTGAGCATATTTCAGCTCAAGCAGAACGAGGACCACTCAGTGCATTGTTTGGGAGTTGGTTGGATTCAGAGGGACGGTGAAGGTCATTTCAGGTTTTAAAGAGTGGAAGTTTTGAGTCCAGCAATTTAGTAGATTACATTGTTTAACCGCCAGACCTGTGTGGTTGCAGACTCTCACTGGTCTTCTTAAAGCAGTTTTCATCTTGGATAAGCGTATAGTTCACCATCCTGTTACTACTAGAAGGCACACAGATTTCTCCTCCTCAAACCAGCCCCCATCCTTTGGTTTTAAGGATGAAAGTTGAATGAGAGATGAAACAAGCTGCTTTTGAATGAAGTGAAATGTCAAATGCAAGGATACATCTCCTAGCATTTCTACCAGACTCAATAAGACTGGATGAGAGGTTCGGGGTTTACCTGAATGTAGTTGATAACATGCAGGATGATACAGAAGCCATCCTAGGGACAGGTGGTTTCCATCTTGTTAAAGAGCAAAAAAGGGAAAACTTATTCCATCTGGCAATCCATTTGAGAATGTCCCTCATTCTTTTTGATCACTGAGCTTGTGTTAACCGAGTACCTGGAATGTGCTAAACACTTGCTAAATCTTACAGAGGGGGGGTGGGAAGTTAGGTAAGAGCGTACTTCTCAAGGGCTTAATCTGGGTATTTTACCCTAAATGCTGGATATTTTACACTTAAATGGCAGTAGAAAATGCCAGCTGTCAGCTCTGGGACAGCCTTCCAGCTAGCACTTCAGGTTGTTGTGACTTTCGAATCAGAATGTTGGTTAGTTAGTTATGTATGTATGTATGAATGAGAGAGTGTAAGCAAGGGGAGGGGCAGAGGGAGAGGGAGAAGGGAGAATCTCAAGCAGACTCCCTGCTGAGCTAGGAAGCTGATGCGGGGCGAGATCATGACCTGAGCCGAAATCAAGAGTCCATGAGCCACCCAGGCGCTCCCAGAATCAGAATGTTTTAATGGAAGCCTAGTGTGGTGGGTGGTAGTGGATGGAAATCACCCACTGTATTCCCTATATTTATCTTGGACTCCAGGCTGAAGCAATGATAGCAGGTCATCTTAGGCCTCCAATCCATTCTGGGGGGAGGTTACCTGAGAAGTCAGGATCATTCCAAGGTCAGCCTAACAGTATCTAGTGATTCTCTATGACTTCTTTTTTGATGTTGTTCAACACCTTGACAGGATCCCATCCATACTTCTATTCCCCACCTCTGAGATAATGTGGGAATTAGATTAGCCTCTAAAGAATGGACGCATTCTTCTCTAGGTCATCACCCTTCTGCAGAAAACCAGAACAAGCATCATTTTTCAGTAGTCTGGCTCATGGTGAAGATAGGCAAGAGTCACTGCCCCAGGAAGAATTTTGGTATCAAGCTGTCTCTTTACCAGTGTTCTGCCAAACACATCTCTTAATCACCTGGTAGGACATTTGAGAAATGAATGCTTGAGGATTCCTAAGAAGGAAAGTCAATTCAGGACATTTAGGCTTGGTTTTTAAGATTGCACATCCATAAACAAGAACTTCTTATAGCCTCAGGGTCATCTTTTATAAAGTGAAGCTTACCTTAAATGAATCCCCAGCCAGGAAGATTATCTGGGCTGGACTGATTCTGATCGGACTTACCAGAATTGGTCTGTAGCTATTGGTTAAGCATCTGATGTGCAGGGGCAAAAAGGAGCCTAGACACATTCGATTTTTTTCTTTAAGTGCCTCAAGAGAAAGAGATTTGAGGTAGACCATTTCCCTGAGGATGAGTTACCCACAGTGCAGGTCTCTCAGGGAAGACACCCCTGGTTGTTATAGTGGCAGGTTAAATGTTTTGAAAAGTAATTCTCACAGTTAACCTGCGCCTTGCACTGGGTCTAGATGCATCAGAGGGACTGTTTCTACAGTTTAATGTTGCTTGCTCATTTCTGGTTGAGCCTATCCCAACAGTTGAGCGAGAAGATTCAGCCAAGAATGTCTTGGGTTTGGTTCCTGCCCTCCTGTGTTCAGGGGTGCTGTTTTTTTAAAAAAAAAAAAAAACTATAAATATGTCTGAAGACTCAGCCAGTTACATAAGTTACATAAGTAACTGGCTGAATAAAATAAAATACTCCAGCCTAGATAACAGATTGTAATTTGAAATCAAGGGTTTATCCTTTTCTTCGCTTTTGCTCATAGGAAATACCTTAAACGTAGAGAGTGCTAGTTTCATTAATTGAACAGAATATTGTGGACAAAATTTTGACAGATAGATTATATCTAGATATTTATATGCACACATGTGGAGAGAAAGCTATATATATATATATATATATTTATATATGTGCAGATTTGTAGCAAAGTATTATTTGGGGGAATCAGAATCTGGACTTCTGATACTGAAAACACATTTCATTTTCAATTCAACCTGAAAAGGACAAAAATTTAAATTCGTTTTCTCTAAAGAAGTACATTTTCTATTGTCACCATCTTTCTATGCTAATAGCATTGTGATAATTCGTAAAACAAGGTTGAGTAGATGAGATTTTGTTTTAATAATTGCTTAAAAGGAGATAGGATGACACTGTTACAGTGATGGTCTTTATGTGTTAAGCAGTTGGTCAGCTTTTACAAGATTAATTATTAATAGGGATCTACATAAGGTATTTTTTAGATGAACCAAAGGGTTTTTTTTTAAATCAGTTCATTGTGTCAACAGCGTGTCCCGCTTTTCCTGATGGGTTAGATGGACCCGGCTATTGTAACTGACAGGTGGTCTGGAACAGCCGACCATTCATCAAGTAGGGAACGTGAGTGCCCACCCCCATGCCAGGCTCTGCAGACTGTGTCGTCCTGGGATCGTCTCATAAGTGCACCGTGTAATAGTTTTTGAGAAAATTATATTTCCATTGCTCGTTGTCTGCAGAAGAAAGAAGGAGGAAGAAATAGAAGCAGAAAGAAATAGAAGATTTAAAAAATAAGACTGGTCTCTGTGTTTGTTCCTAATAGTCTCCTGCAGATAGATCTCAGAAGATTCATGCTGGTGATGAAGTCATTCAGGTTAATCAGCAAACTGTGGTGAGTTTGTTCGTTGAGACTTAAGACGTTTAATATTCCCCTCTAGAACTTTTAACTAAATCCAAAGTCAGTTTGCTTGAATTTTTTAAATTTGTGATTTCTAGCCAATTTTCCATAGTTTTAGGTAGTGCTAAGATAAACATACTGGTATCTGCTTATTTGCTCACAAATGATTTCCTTGAAATAAATTCATAGATTTGATTTTTGATAATTCACAAGTGAGTCCCTTCTCATTTTCTTTCTCTGAAGGTGGGATGGCAACTAAAAAATCTGGTGAGAAAATTAAGAGAGAATCCTACAGGAGTCGTATTACTGCTTAAGAAGCGCCCCACGGGTTCTTTCAACTTTACCCCTGCTCCCCTGAAAAACCTCCGGTGGAGACCGCCCCTTGTGCAGGTATCCGTTATTGGTTGTAAACCCTTCTCTGCCAGCCACTCATTAACCATGTCGAGGATGGGATTTGTCTCCAGAAAGAACAGTTACCATCTGAAGGTGATTGGTTTCAGGAGTTTGTGTATGCAGAATCATTCTCTAGTTCTACTTCAGTGAAAATACACATTGTAGATTTTGCACTAGCCACGTGTGACTATTTAAATAATTAAAATGAAAAGTCCAGTTCCTCGGCCTCATTAGCCACATTCCAGAGGCTTGGTGGCCTTGTGTGGCCAGTGGCTATCGTCATCCCTGCAGAAAGTTCATTCTGGTCCTTTTCCCCTCTCCTGTCAAACACATCGGACAGTACCCAGTTTGAGCACTAACCGTGGAGAGACTAACCCCTGCCTTGGCAGGCGAAGTCCTGCCAAGGCAGGAGTAGGGACGGTGGGAATAATCCACACAGTGGGGAGTGGTATCACCGCATTGTTTAGTTCAGACGTGGCAGCCTTGGGTGATCATCAAAAGCAGACCGACTTACAGTATCGTACTGTATAGTATTGTATAATTCTATACGAACAGTACACTCCTTTATTGCCTACACCTGGGTGGAGTGTGCTCAGGGACCAAACCCCCTCCTGATACCATGGGTCCTTAGTGTTTATTTCTTAAATCATGAATAAAAAGCAATGACATCTTAATACCCCTTTTTAAGATTGAGATTGCAATTTATATGAAACTGTGTGCCACATTACTGTTCATCTTCGAATGGAAGGAATGGTAGCCATCTCAGGCTATCAATTTGGACCCGTGGTGATGCATAGAACATTGGAAATACACCTACATGTGTACCCAATGGGGGAGGGGGTTAAAATAAATAACAGGATATGGAGTAAGGAGGGGCACATAATTAAAATCACTTCTTAAATAATAACTGATTAACACATGATTTAGAAGTCAGTTCCTATAAATAATCATCTCTTAAATAATAACAATATCAGTCACACTCCAACTGTGATGGGGCAAGTCCAGTGAAAGACTCATGTTAAGAGGTCATTTGGAAGAAGCATGAAAAAGACTCATGGAGCAGCACCGCATAGTGGTTGGGCGGGGGGCTTGGAGTTAAACTTTTCCAGTTCAAATCCCAGCTCTGCCACTTATTAGTTATGGGGCCTCTGATAAAGTATTTAATCTTTCTAAACCTCACTCCTAATTATTAGTATTTACTGTGAGGGAAGGCTGGGCTCCTGGGTGGCTCGGTTGGTTAAGCATCTGCCTTCGGCTCAGGTCATGATCCCAGGGTCCTGGGATCGAACCCCGCATTGGGCTCTCTGCTCAGTGGGGAGTCTGCTTCTCTCTCTCCTCCTGCTTTTCCCCCTGCTTGGGCTCTCTCTCTCTCTCACATGCACACACACACACACTCTCTCTCTCTCAAATAGATAAATAAAATCTTAAAAGTAAAGGCTTTGGGCTAAGGGATGAGGAAGGCAAGCAAGGCAGGAGTGAAATGTGACTGTGAACCTGGCTGGTGATACCAGTGACAGAAATTAGAGAGTCAGGGACGGCAGAGACGGTGGGTCTTTTGAGCATCATTGAGTTTGAAGTGAGGGAGGAAGATTCAAGTGGCTGTGTTGTTCAGGTGGTAAGTGAAAGTTATTTTTAAGTACAGGCTAGAGTTAGTCCCTTCACCTCTGGAAATTCACTTAAGAAGGACATGCTTCTCTCCTCTCTGGCTTTGTCCACCTTCCTGCCAAGTCCCACTAACTGTGTAGTTTTGGGGAGCAGATGATGGTGAGGGAGGAGACACCTCGTTTTGCTTCTGACCAAGGGAGAGAACCACCATCACAACTGAGAGGCCATTTTTTTAGCTTAGCTACCAAGTGTTCTCACGATACATCCAGGATATTTTCAGAATATAAACTCTGGAGCACCAACACTGCCTGGGCATTGCTGTGTGTCATTCTCCAGGCTTCATGCCCGGGCATCCACCTCTTGTGGGAGGGAGCTTCTTTGCTTCTTGTCAACACCATTAATGTGGCCTGTCCCTGAGAAGGTGCCACCATCCTGGTGAACGGGAGATCTTTTACAGCCGCCATCATCAGTGTTGGAGTCTTTGGAGAGCGCTTACTCTGTGCCAGTGCCGTACTTTACTTCTGTTAGCACTTACGGAGGGCCTCCCTCCCGGCCCCGTGTTTTCAGACATTGTTCAAGGTTGGCGGATTGAGGTGTTGGTCAGTTCCGTACTGAGTAGAGTGGGCTGTGTTAGTGGCCGACATCCAGGTTGTAGGGATGATGTCACGGGAGACTAAAGACTAAGCCCCCATTTCTCTTGAGCCTGGGGGTCTCCCCCTAAAACAGTACATTCCAGTCCTTAAAATCTAGCTCATGGTCTCATTTCGGGGGGCCTTTGGGGTCTTTGATCACCATCCAGGCTGGATAGGGTTTGAGGTGCCAGGGGCCAGGCACAGTTCTCATGTCCCCCCCCCACCCCCAACTGGCCATCACCAGACATCTCCATGCCTCAACTCTGGGATTTCCTCACGATTCCTTTACCCACCAGAAAGTGTGTCATCATTGTTCGTCTATAGAAGAGAGAAGATTTGAAGGTCTCACACAAGATTTTTAAAAATAGGTCCTTTGAGCCCAATAACATAATTAAGCTGTAAGGACTTTAAACTTTTAAAGTTAACTTGTATGGATGTGTGTATATATAATACTAAATTAAACAGCATAATAAGGTTGTGTACTTACTATGTGACAAGCAGTGTGCTAAGCCTGTGACATGTGTCACTTAATTCACCCTTCGTGGGTGCTCTTCTTGTCCCCACTTATGCCCATCTTATAGATGAGGCACAGAGAAGTTAAGTGGTTTGCTCAGAGATACACAGCTAATGAGAGCTATAGCCAGGCTAGGCCCTGGATGGAGTCCCAAGCCCATGCTCCTAGTCCATGATGGCATCGTTAGTGACTTGTACGAACTAACTCGTTCAATCTGCGCTGTAGCCCTATCAAGAGTTACTATCAGGATGGCTGTTTTTTGAGGAGGAAACTGAGGGACGGGTATTTCAGTGATTTGCTCAGAGCTAGAATTCTAACCTGGCTCCCAAGCCTCTACCTTTTTTTTTAAGATTTATTTACTTGAGAGAGAGGGCACAGGCACACACAGGTGAGTGGGGAAGAGGGGCAGAGGGAGAGAATCTTTCAAGCAGACTCCATGCTGAGCACAGAGCCTGATGAGGGGCTCGATCCCACAACCCATGCGATCATGATTTGAGCCGAAACCAAGAGTCAGACACCCAACTGACTGAGCCACCCAGGCGCCTTCCACCCCCTACCCCCAAGCCTCTACTTCTTCCTGTGCATCTAGTTTTCTGGAACTCCCAATTAATTCTGAGTGTCTCAAAGACTACAAACTGAATTGTTGCTAATAGTTGTAAACACACAAATGACCTCGGCCCTCAGTGTTGGCTTTGGGGAAGGAGAGTTGCCCAAGAATAATCTCACCTCCACCCTTTGCACTGGCTTCCATTTCAGACCTCACCTCCACCCACGACAACCCAGTCCCCTGAAAGCACTATGGATACCTCGCTGAAGAAGGAGAAGCCAGCCATCCTGGATCTTTATATCCCTCCTCCACCAGCCGTTCCCTACTCCCCCCGGTACGTCAGTGTCCATTCATAGTGTACATGCCTATCTCCTGTGCCTGAAGATTCTGAGTGGAGGTGTGAAAGCCAGGAGGATTTCGAGGGCAGGAGTTGATGAACTCCAGGGTGACAGGGCTGAGTCTTGACATTGCAGTTGTTTTAAAAAGTGTCATCCTGGGAGTAGTAGGGGTGGGAGGAATGGATGGAGGGGGTCACAAGGTCCAGACCTCCAGTTACAAGATAAAGAAGTTGTGGGATGTCATGTACAGCACGGTGATTATAGTTAACAATATTGTATTTTATAGTTGCAAGTTGCAGGGAGAGATTTTAAAAGTTCTCATCACAAGAATAAAAGAATTTGTAACTGTGAGGTGATGGATGTTAACTAGACTTTTTGCGGTGATCATTTTGCAATATATACACATACCAAGTCATTATGTTGTATACCTAAAACAAATACAATGTTATATGCCAATTATATCTCACTAAAACTGGGGTGGGGGGACATGTGTGATCCTTTAGGGGGAAGTGTAGGGATGGATCTAGGTTTCATGGGTCTTGAAACTATGTAGTTTGGTGGGGAGGGGACTCTACGTAAAGAAAGCATGTGCTCTTGGGAATGCATTGTTTTAGTTCCTCCCAGAACATCAGAAGGGGGTGCTTGGGGGTCCCTGAAGCTGAAGTTTGATTCCATATAAGGTAAAAATCATCTCTGAGGAGGAAGATAATAAATTTTCTTATACGGCAGGTTAAAGTTACAGCTTTATTTTACGGGGAGAGTTGTGTTCTTCATAGGACTTGAAAAATGTGAATGGAGGTGTGATACTCTGTATTTGTGCATGCGTGTGGTTGTGTGTGTCTATTAGAAATTCTAATGGAATAAATTCTTAATTGGTACATGGTATAACGAGGCTAGTCATATTAGCTGTTCCACAGGGGATTATTTAGGTGTGAAATATAGGCTTATTTATATCAATTTACCCATTTACAGAGAATTTGGCTCACTTATTCAACATACATTTAGTGAGTGTGGGGCCTGAATCACCATCTTAAACAAAACAGATGCAGTTCTTACCCCCAGAGAACTGCCAGTGTCTTAGTCAACTATCCAAAAATAAATTGAGAAATACATAATTATGCTATAATATTTCATAAGAAAAAGTTCGGGCTGAACTTAACAGTGATATTTTACTTTATATTGGGAGTTTTTGTTGGTTGTTTTTTGTTTCAAGCTGAGTATTTGATTCTATCCTGTTTCTTCCCTGGGCACAAGGAAGAATGAACATCATTTTCCTCTCCCTGGCTTTGGGCTGCCCAGAACTTAGTACAGCACATAGAGAACTTACCTTAGCTGATCAGAGGCATCCTGGTTGGTAGATGGGACCCTTCCCTGTCTTCACAGACCAGAGTCATGTGGTCACAGGATCTTAAATGTGTTTAAAGTGACAAGTAGTTGCCTTTGCACATGGAGAACACAGTTTCACTGATGACCAGTGTGTGGGTTGTTCTATAAGAAACCAGGAGGCCACTCCCAAACTCCCAACTCTGAATGTTCTTGTCTGGGTCTCAGTGAAGGGTCACAGAGCAGTGGCAGGAAAAAGGGTATCTACATAGTAGAGGGGAAAGGGAACTGGAGCTTTTAATCTACTCGGGGGAAATAGACATAAGACACATGCGCACGTGCATACACACACACACCTACACACCATTAGTGAAGGATATCTTCTGAGGAATGAAACACGCAAATGGTGATGGAGAACGAGAGGTGAGTCTTGAGAGCTTTGTGAATGGGGAAGTTGTATGCCAGGTTTAAAAGTATAGAAGGAGATGGATTCATAGAAGGAAAAGGGGGCACACAGGCAGGGGGTTCACTGGGAATACCAAGCAGGCAAAGCTGATCTTCAGATTGTTTTTGGACTCAGGTGATGTTGTAGTTTGTCTAGTAGTTTTTGCAATGATCACCTAAGAGAATTTTCTAAATGCAAAAAAATTTAACTAGCTGGTAACTTGGACTCAACTCAAATTAATTTTAAGTTTTATAAAAGCTGACATTTAGAAAGAATTAAGTTGGAGTCATTAATCCAACATTTGCCAGTTTCTGTACGGAGTTCAGAAAACAGACACTCTCCATGGGTATGATAAAGGCGCCTTTGTATTTTTTGACATAATTTTCAAACCTAACAACTCCATTACACATCCTGTCTTTGCTGGATCTTGGCCAAGATACTACTTGGGGCATCAGAAAAATGGCTCAATCATACGTTAACTTGTGATTTCTGTAATAAATAGGAGATTCAGATATAGGATAGAAGTACAGGGAACCAGAGCCGTCTTTTCAAAGCTATATTTATACTCTTTAAACATATCTGAAAAAAAAATGTCATTTTCTTTTATTTAGTAGGATCATGCTATTTACTCTTACCTAATAGGATTTCTGTGTATTGGAGGGGTAACAGAGATAAAAAACGAATGCTTTTTTACTCCAGTGGAAAGGAGGATTCAAATTTTCTTATGTGTGTTTGCTGGAGGAAGTCTGTCCTGTAATTCTTCTGTAGGAGAGGATCTTTGTAAGCAACTTAATTATTGCCCACTGTCTTCCAGGAATGAGAACGGGAGTTTTCTTTATGGAGGCCTCAGTAAATGTAAACAGCCATTGCCTGGTCCTAAGGGTTCCGAGTCGCCAAATTCCTTCCTGGACCAGGAGAGCCGAAGACGGAGATTTACCATTGCTGATTCTGATCAGTTGCCTGGGTATTCGGTGGAAACCAATATTCTGCCCACAAAAATGAGAGAGAAAACACCATCTTATGGTACATTTCTGAGTGTTTGTTTTGTTCTGCCATTTGTTTTTCCTTCCCTCCCCCACCCCCTTCCTTATTTGGAACTGTTGGATGAATTTGGCAGACTTCAAGGGTAATCTGAGGAAAACATAAACCTCAATGAAATTCTAAGTATGAGACCTTTATTCATCTCTCTAAAGCGAAGTCTTGTTGAATCATTACTCTCTGCCTGGCATCAAAGCCCAGTGGAGTGAGATCATGTTACAGTTTTAACTTGCAGGGCCTGGGTTTTGGCTTGGAGTGGCTTTGCTCTGTAGATACACAGACTTCAGGTCAGCCGGCCTCTGTCCTCATTGCTTGCCATGGAAATGGGATGCTTTAAAATACTTTTCTTAGTTTACAGTAATGTTATTACTTATGGTTAAGTGAGTGTGATATGGGGGAGTCTTAAGTTATAAACAAAAGGAAAGATTCTCTAAGGTCCAGAAACTCTTGTCAACTTGTCGTGTTCCTTCCCCTCCCTTTGAAGGCAAGCCCCGGCCTTTGTCCATGCCTGCGGATGGGAGCTGGATGGGGATAGTGGACCCTTTTGCCAGACCTCGAGGTCATGGGAGAAAGGGTAAGTTTAAGCAAACTAAAAATACACCAAACCGGAGTCAAAAGAGCCATGGCCCTCGTTTCAATCCTATTCCTATTGTGCTGTAATAACCAGATAGAGGACCCCAGCCTGAGACCTGTCTTCTCATCTGTAAAATCGGAGTTGCTGAATCTCTGAGGCCCTACCTGTTTCTGGAATGGCAGAATTATATTATCCTAGTTAGTGACTGAATCTCCTCATTAGCATCATGTGCTTTGAAAAGGTTGTGGGGGCACCTGGGTGGCTCAGTTGGTTAAGCCTGACTCTTGATTTCAGCTCAGGTCATGATCTCAGGGTTCTGGGATCGAGCCCTACATCGGGCTCCCCTGTTCATCGGGGAGTGTGCTTCTTCCTTTCACTCTCCCTCTGCACGCTCTCTCTCTCTCAAATAAATAAATAAATAAAATCTTAAAAAAGAAAAGGAAGAAGAAAAAAGTCCTGGAGGCTCAACTTCCAAAGTGATCAACCCTTCACATCTCCCTGGGCCTTGGTAAAGTTCCTCCCTTAGGAACCCAAATCACCTGGATTATAATAAAGTGGAAAAGGGAGAAGATGTCTGTGTAAGGTCCAGGATACCCTTAATTGGCATGTGAAAATCTGTGGAGCAGTCAGCAGGTGGCAGGGCTGTCCTTTGTTTAGATTTAGAAGCATCAACATCTTCATTGCTAGTCTCTTAGGATTTTAATCCCCAATTTAGCCTTTTTATTTCCTTTTAGTATTGAGAGGTCGGAGTGGGAGGTGGGGAGTGTTAAGTCTGGAAGTGGAGACATACTTGACCTCCTATCTCACCATATTTCCATTGTAGGATCATTTTAGAATGAAAAGGTGTCTGTCTGCACGATGGGCACTTAAAAAAAAAAAAAAAGCTTTCTTGAGAGAGGACTCACATACCATAAATCTGCTCACCCTATCAAAGTGTACAATTCAGAGGTTTTTAATACATTCATAGAGTTGTGTGTCCATCAGCACTGTCTAATACCAGCGTATTTTATCACTTCAGAAAGAAACCCCTGCAGGCAGTCATTCCTCATTGCCTCATCCCTCAGCTCCTGGCAACCACTAATCTACTTTCTGTCTCTCTGGATTTTTGTACTCTCAATGTTTCCTATAAGTAGACTCTTACAATAGGTGGTTCCTTGACGATGGGCACTTCTTAAAAGTAACTACCCCTTTGATTACAAAAGCAAAACAAGTACACTGAAAAACATCTAGAAGACTCGAGAAAATAAAACACCTGTAATCTGCTTTCCCAACCTAGAAATAATCACTCTGAATGCTTTCTGGTTTTTTCCAACTTAGAAAAAACTGTGCAAAATGGAAGAACTAGGTGTTTGACAATACTGTGAAAAGTGACTGTTTTTCAACACATGTATGTTTTCTGTAATAACTGCATTAGGAATCCGTCTTAGGGCTGTAGCATGTACTTATTCAGGCTGCTGCTGAAAGCTTAGTTTGTGCACTCTCCCCATCCCCCATTGTAAGTAGTGCTGCACTAAGCATCTTGTACCTAGATCTTCATACACTTTTCAGAGTGGAATTTCTGGGTCGAAAGAATGCTACACGTTGCCAAAGTGCCCTGCATTTCAGGTTTCCATTCAGTTTCTTACCCCCCCCCCCCCCACTCTGATCCCAGGAGCTGTCTACTGACATTTAGGCTGGGACCGTTCTTCCTTGTTTGGAAATGTCTTAAGTGTGGCAGAACATGAAAATCTTTCGACCCTGTCCGTTAAAGGTGAATAATAGTGCCTGCCCTTCATTGAGGGTGACAACCCGAGGCTCCCCCACCTTTTCAAATGCTCTTCAGGAGATGCTTCAGGGTAAGAACCACTGTTCTAGAAGCGTGTGCTACATTGAACAAGAACAGATGGGGAAGGAGTGATAGACACAGCTTTTTCGCCTTTTTTTTTTTTAATTCGAGTGAAATTATGAAAATTCTTACACTGGTAAAGAAGTGTGGGCTCCCTGATTCTGCTCTGCCCTTGTGTTGCCTCTCAGGTGTAAAAGCAGACTAACTGATGGACTCCTTCCATTTCTACTTTCTAAACATCCCGGGGGTGGGCCTGGCTGTCTTGGAGGCTTTGCAGCCCACCCCTGGGAGGAGGGCAGGGTCAGGTGCCCACCTCGAGGGCATCAGAAGTCTCAGCAGGCTGCCGGCCCCGCTGGACAGGGCTGCTCAGTGGATGGTTATTTCAATGGACTTGTGGGCTTTGTCTGAAAACAGGTGAGGAAGCCCTCTGTCGGTATTTCAGTAATGAGCGGATCCCTCCCATCATCGAAGAAAGCTCCTCTCCCCCGTACCGGTTCTCACGGCCCCCAGCGGAGAGGCAGCTGGTCCGCGGCGCAGACTACGTCCGGGGGAGCAGGTGCTACATCAGTTCGGATCTCCACAGCAGCGCCACGATTCCGTTCCAGGAGGAAGGGGCCCGAAAGAAGCCGGTCTCCTCGGCGGCCAAGTCCTCCTCTACAGAACCGTCCCTGCTGGTCAGCTGGTTTACTCGCCTCAAACTGTTGACTCACTGAGCCCCTCCCTGCCGGGACTCTTCCCCCTCTCCCGCTCGCAAGTGCCTTGCTTCCTCAGTTGACAACCTGTTCTGGTTTTCATCCACAGTATTATGTAGTGACCTTATGCAATTTCATTGTTTGTTTTCTTTTGGAAGTCGTAGACTGCCCTTCTCGGCATTTTGAAGTAACTGGATGGGAACAAATCCGGAGGATCTTAGGTGTTGCCTTGTGGAGGCCGAAGGAGAGAAATGAGTCCGCTTTTCTTGCTTCCTTGTGGTCGGAACACGGAGACACGCTGTAACTGGGGCCTGGACCAGGAATGTTGTGGCCATGATGAGGAACTGGGCCATCGTTGGTGCTGGGCGTGGGGCTGAAGTGGGTGTCCATTGTCACAGAGATGTGTTGGTTTGTGGTCCAGCTTCTTCACCTGAAAAAGCCAGTGGGGAAAACATTTTTGTTTTGATTTTTCAAGCTACATACCGTATTTTTAAGTGTAGCAGCTTTGACTTTGAAATAACATGTGGCATGCATTTCATGCTGTTTCAGAGAAGTGGTTTAAGTAAGTGTAGGCCTGTTACACTTGGCTCTTCCCTTTTCGTAACAATCTCAGTATGTAGGTCAGTTAATACAGAAACACATGAACACATTTAGATAGGGCTTATTACACACAGTGAAGTTTATGGTTATTTGTGAGGGGTGTTGTTGTTATATATTATTGTCTTTAAGGGAAAAGAAGCTATAAGATTTGCTGACAGCCAAAGTATCATTCAGAACAATGAAGCAACAATATTTAGGTTAACGAGAGATACATCAGTTTGCATTTTGACTGTGTAACGTCTGTCTTCCAGAAAAAAACAAAACAAAACAGGCAGTTCTTCAAAATTGTATATATTTTGCTAAATAGAAATCTCTTGGAAAGTCTCATGGTCACTAATTTTCAACTAGCATCAGGTATTTTGGAAAAGTGTGTCAGGATATTAACTCTTGTTAAAACTGAATGTATGATATTTTGTTAGAACAGAAAAGTACTATCTTGTTAATTTAAGTGTTTTAAATATAGTTGTATATTTTTCTTACTCGTAGTCACATGTAATTGGAATACTTCTGTTTTGCGTCCTACGTGAAGCTAATGAAAACGAGTGGTTCAAGGTGTTTTCTGATTTACACGTGACCACCACGGTCTCTGCCACTGTGGGCCCTATTGTTAAAAAACAAAATAAACCCTCCCAAGCATTTTGGGGTGTTATGGATCAGAAGTGGGGGTGTTGAGGAAGCATGGTACAGTAACATTACATCTGGGGACTTTTCCGAGGTATTTTCCTAGGCAGAGCTGGTATCCCCTACTCAACACCCTCCCCCGCCACACACGCCCCTGAAATGGTTTACTTTGCTCAGGTGCCTGAAATTCAACGAATTAGAGCTCCCCTGGATTTAGTAAACATCTTCCTTTTTAAGTGAGGGGATTGAATTCAATCAGGCTCTTCCCGTCAGCCTCTGAAGGAGCTGCAGCTGAAGGATAGAAGAGGCATGGAATGCGTGATTCATTGGGTGCTTCAGACACAATGTAAGGGCAGAGCACGGGGTGGGGAGGTCTGGTAACAGGGCTCTGGAGACTAGCATGGAAGCCCTGGAAAAGGAGGGGCACCAGCCTTGGCCCATTTTGCTGTTAGCTTGAGCTGGCTTTATGCCCAGAAAAGGGGATGCCAACACTTTCTCTCTGTCCCTGGATTTGGGAGGATTCTTAGTGCTGTGGTTCAGCTGAGTAATGAGTTAAGTAGCGTTGGAGGTCTTAGCTGGAGGTTGGCCCCTAATCTGTGGAGAAAATGCAACTTGTGATCAGATGACCATCCTCAAAAGGCATTTTCGGGTGTCAGTCTTAGCTACAGGCAGTACCCAACTTAAATTACCGTACCAGATCGGTGTTTTGCGACTTTGTTCCCTCAAGCCCTAATAGAAGACCAGAGAAATTTCTGGGTCCTCTACCTTCATTCAGTCAGACGCCGCAGCTTCATCTGTATTTTTATTTGGGGCTTTCTCCTGAATTGTGTTTGAGAAATAGATCCCTGCTAAGAAAAAAAAAATTTTTTTGTATATAGCTGTACCGTTGAGATATATAAACAATAGTTTAATACTAATTTCTTAGCCATAAATGGAAGCCACTTGCCTCCATAGTAATCCAGGTTTAATGGTGGGCGTGTGGAATGATACTTTTTGACATGAAACTTTAAAATAGTGATTTTTCCTTTAACCCTACCAGACCCAGCTCAGCACCCACCCCTTTTTATCATAAATATTTTGCAACATAGCTACAATCATCAGCTAAGAATCATGGATGATAAAACCTATCCTCACACATAAAAGCATCACCCGCATTTCCTTTTACGATTCCAAAATGAAATTCACCGGTAATATAACCAACTTCTATACACATGCATCAATTTGATGTCCTAAATGACATATAAACAAATATATAAATATTTTATAGTGAGAATTATTTTCCTATGTAATATTCTAGCATGGTTATATTATACAACGTATTGAAATAATGAAACAAGGCACATACTCGCACCTGTAGATAAAATCGCCACAAATGTGGCAGCTACAAATGGAGACTAGTACAGGTGTGTTCTGTTGGCAACTCAATGCCAGGAGCAGACTGATGGGAGTGACGCGATTTTCTAAAACGTGGCCAATTGTTGATAAAGTTGTAGACAAAACAAAAGTCTATGAGAGCTAACACCCACCTAGTGCTTACCGGGTGCCTGCCATTGTTCTAAATACTTACCCAACGACTTTATGAGGTGAGTGTCCCTGTTCTTCCCATTTTACAAGTGAGGGAGTTACCCGAGGGTAGAGAGCTGGGAACAGCAGAGCTGGGATTAGAAGCGAAGCAATTTAGCTCCGCCCTCCTTGTTTATAATCACTTTACTGTACAGACTTCTCTCAATTTGGGGAATGATTGCATTCTTGAAAATTCCAACACCTCTTAAAACTGGACTGAAAATTTCCCGTGTGTATACAGATAAAATGAGATTACAGATTCAGATAATGCTGAACCAGGTTTCCATCCACATTAGTACTTGGTGGTGCAGTTGAATGCTGTACTGATGGGGGACAGTTTTTGGTTGTAAGGAATCTAACCAGTGGGGCTCATGTAGCACCCAGGCCCCACCTGTTGACCAGTAGTGGCCCTCCCCATCATTGGCACCTCACATTTCCAAAACTGCCACTAGGACGATACACCATCCTTTTGAGAACAAGTGATTTAAAAGAAATCCTGTCATCATCATCATCAAATGTGATTCAGTCTTCATGCTATATTCTTGCCCATCGTCTATCTCTGCTTCTTTCTCCTTGCTTCTCTACCCACCAAACCTGAAGTTCTAGAATCAGTTTATGGGGTATTTTGTTTTTCTTTTCCTCCCCAGAAAGCCAAGCAGTTGTTGCTGCCTCTGGCCCAAAGACCATGAATGTTACCGAGTTTCAGTTTGTTGGCCCTCAGAAAACCCTGAGGTATTTACACATAATTTTATCCCTTGAAGAGCTTAAGTAAATTTCTGTTTGACATCTGAATATTATCATCAAAGAATAAAAGGCATGGAGCTTTTTTTGCCACCATAGGCATAAATGGGATGGCCTCATTTGCAGGTCTCCATGTGTCTGTGACTAGTCTTTATGGACAAGGGGTTCACATTTTGCTCCCACCCTTGTGATAGAGACCCTGCATCATTTCTTTTGGGTTGAGACTACAACAAACCACTACCTTGGAGATTATATGGAAGGTGGATTTTTTTTATACATTCATGCTAGTCACCTGAAGGTGAGTATTTAAAAATCTGTTGATTAAAAACTGGCTTAAATAGTACACAAAAACTGTCCTTTCTGATGTTTCTTCAAATGGATGGAAGGTCTTGGCATGATGAATCCAACCTAGTGGGATCATAGTATGTGGTTGGGGATACCTCGAGAGACTTAAAAAAAAAAAAAAAGATTTTATAATCTGTAGGATATGAAATCAGAAAAAAATAGTCATCTTCTTCTTATAAAATTTACCTTATAATTTCCTGGAAATTTCTTAACTGCTAAGTTTTGCCCTATGGGTTTTACTTTTGGTCACTAAAATTACTGCTAGAAATGTGGTGGTCTCACAAAGTTTTGACAAATGTAAGGTTTAATGTAAGTAAAGGAAAAAGAGATTATATTAAATTCAGATTTGCTAGATGGCCATGTTTTTCTCCAGTTTTAGGGATATGAGGTCTGTCCCAAACCCTGTGTGTGTACGTCGAAGAGAATTTTGTGCTCTTACAAGAGTCCTTCTACAATAATGGTCTATGGCTTACTGATTTGGAAAGAGGAGAGATAAGATTTTGTCCACAATCAACAAAGTAACATCACTCAGCCAGGAGCCTTTCACACACAGTCTTTGAGAACCTTTGGGGCACCTCCTCCACCCCCCTCACATAGAAAGGCACATGGTGTGGGGTTATTGAAGACAAGATTCTGGGCATATGCTGACCGTCCTTAGGGATACTCAGAAATTCTATGGCAGCGTTTGTGAAGTTCATCTTCTGATTGATCAACAGTTCATGGGCTGCCAATTTACAACAGACCTCAGGGACTAAAACCCTTGAGGCTGCAGCCAAGATCATGGGGTTTAATCCTACACCCTCTCCCGGATCCTACCTACTGCTCTATAGTTACTACTCCTGGGAGGATGGGTCAAGTCTGAGCGTTCGTGCCATGCTTGCAACCGAGTATTACACACGCTCTTCTTTACGGAGATTCTTGTCTCTCTGAGAAGTTGTGAAACTGAAGCCGTGGGAGAAAATTAAAAAATAACCCTCAAAGATATTTAAAAAAGAAGAGCTATATCACACCTGAAATCCAGTGATCCGGGGATGGGGATATTTTCATCATTTTCTCTCCCCATGTTCAGATAGCATTGTAAGCACTCAAATGTTTGTGAAGGAATGATTAAAAGAGAAAAAAATCTGGAAACAAGTTATTTTTTTTGCTCTTCCATAGACCAGACCCATTTTAAGGGATTTACCCTGTAATTTTAATGTTAGGGTGACAAAGACCAGATTTTAAGAACTTCCTTCAACATTTTGACGTGTCTTGGTCTGAACGTTTTGATTATTTTAGAGAAATGTGAAGGAACTTTAAAAATGAAGCTTGATATAAAGTAATACTGTCTCTGAAGTTAAGAAATTGTCTTTTAATTTTGTCAGTGTCGAGTTCTGTTTTTCCACTCATAAATACCTCTCTGTCATTCCAGCTGAGGCTGTGCCAGGGTAAGAGTGGAGAGATTTCAGGAATTAGTACTAATTTAGGGGTCTTTGACTTTTGGAAATTGGCAGTAGTTAGAAGCAGTTGGGGGCTCAGCTTTTGAAGTCAGATAATCCAGCTGACCCACTTTACCACTTAGAGGCTTTGTGACTTGAAGCAAGTTACTTATCTCTCTGCTCTCCAGTTATCTACAAAATGAGGGTAATAATAGAATTGACTTCATAGGCTTATGGGGATTAAAGGAGATAATGTTTGTAAGGCCCCTTAGTATCGTCTACCAAGCAGCACTTAATAGATACTGACTTTTGTTGGAATACTCTAGTAGTAGTGTTTACACCATCTTAACCTCTAGTGAATGAGACATTCCAGAACTGGTCTACAGAGAACTGCTCATTCTTTTGTCCATAGGCAGCAAAATACTGCCTGTGTCACACAGAGGGCTGCTGTGCCGTGTGTGACCCAGAAGTGTGGTTTTTGTTGGTACAAATCTCAGTTGCTCAGAGGTGTTAGCTGAGTCAGAACTCAAGCGGTAACAGCCTGTCTGACTGGACACATCCAGAATCACAGTATCGCGACACCAGCTTGACTTAGCGCCAACATGTCTTCTCTCTTACTGCCCCCCTCCAGCTTTCTTTGGCAAAATGATGTAGGAAAACAAAATCTGAGCATTTGCCCATCTCCTGTTCGGCTGAATGACTTTTGCCCCTCATCCCCAGTTTGGAGTGGTACCCCCAAACTTATTTCTGTGTTTCAGAAGAAATAAGGAGTTAGAAGAATAGGAGTCATGTAGAAT